GTAGGAATCCCAATTTTACAATTTTGAAGCCTCATCTACCAAGGATGATTCTGACCAAGTTTGAAAAAAATCCATCCACTGGTTCTTGAGAAGAAGTTGAAAATGTAAAAGTTTACGCACGACGGACGACGACGGACGAAAAGCGATTGGAATAGGTCACTTGAGCAAAGCTCAGGTGACCTAAAAATCAATATTCAAGATGGCTGTCTAGTGGCCATTCTATTTCTTTTATCAGTCCCATAAATCAATATGCATGAGTGGGGACCATTGGGAACCTTAATGCCATAATGCCAAATTTGAGAAAGAACTTTTAATTACTGTCTGACAAATAGTGCTAACAATATTTTACTCTGAAAATTCAAATTGGCTGCCTGTCAGCCATCTTGGTTTATTGATCAATTGCAAAATTTGATATGTGTAACAAAAGACCATGGGGAAAGATACCTCCACTGTTCCAGAGTAATAGTGCCGCTAACAAGAATTGTTTAAGGACAGACAGATGGACAACGGACCAAGGGTGATTTAACAGTCCACCATCTGATGAAGGTGGGCTAAAAAGTACCTCATTGATTGAACGAACATTACTGATAAGACATCTATCAATAAAAAAGATTGATGTCCAAGATTGATGTCCATGACACATGTTCAACTGGATTTCAAAACTTGAACCCAAATGTTTCAACACATTAGATGTGACATCCTCAGAACCACGTTTAACACAGTACGGTTCAATGTGGTGCCTTGCTGGGTATGTAATACATGGTGTATAATAACCCCAGAGGTATCGCAGCAACAGACTAGCTACACGAATAAAATGTTCAGAGTTCAATGTTCTGGACAGGAAATCTATCAACCAAATCAATATATGATAATTAATACTAAGAATTAGCACATCAATATCAAGGATCAAATCACTTACTGTGTAATGATCCAGTACCATCAACAGTTAACACAGTTATGCAATACATAGAATTAACAAGAGGCCCATGGGCCTTAACGGTCACCTGAGTCCTACAGTATTTATTTTTATTGTTGAAATATGTACCAATTTGAGTAAAAAATAGTTAAGTATAATGTTAACTTAACTTTGTCAGGACCATGAGCTGATCATTCCTAGACCGATTTTAAGTGAGATCGGCCTATTAGAACTTGATTTTAAGTTTGAAATAGGTATTTACAAAATAGCGGCCATGGCAGCCAAATTGTATTTCTGATTGACCCGAAAAATAACAACACTTTGTCAGGACCATGAGGCGATCATTCCTACCAACTTTCAGTTCAATCGGCCCAGCAGAACTTGACTTTAAGTTTGAAATGTAAAATGTTAACGGACGACGGACGACGACGGACAAAAACGGATAGCAATAGGTCACTTGAGCTAAAGCTCAGGTGACCTAAAAATATAAGTTGTATCAATGATGGCTTATAAGTAAGTTACGTTAGGAAAGCTGAAAGATCTCACCTCCTTCTCAGGCTTGTAATAATGTTTGACTAGATTGTTGATAGCATGGCCCAGCATTTCTTGTATCATTGGAATTTTCAAATCTTGAAAAAAGAAGTTTAGGTAGTACTTTTAACATTATGGCAATAAGGATGAGTAAAGCAAATATCCATTATTCTCAATTATTGAATGAATATCAAGTATCTGACAAATTAATTTGTTACTATGAAACAATGAATTTTATGTGATAAAGTAAGTTTTTACTATGAACATAGGTATTTCACACCTATTCATAAAAGCTAAACTTACTCTGATCTGAGGATTTCTTGGGTGAATTAGGTGACATACTCCTCGGGGATGAGGATGCCAGCACAGCTAGGTCCAGTCCTGTATGGTAAAATCATGTCACAGAACATTATTCAATTCGGATGGATATGTCTCGCCTATACCCTGCTTGACCATCAATGCACATATCAGAGAACTAACTAAAATGCAAAAACTTGATGTTAATGGAGATACTGACAAGTAACTAAGATGCATCCTTGGTCCAAGTTTGGTTGGTCTAGCACAATGAAACTAACTTAAATGCAAAAACTTAATGTTGCTGTCGCCGTCGCTGGAAAAGCAACACCTTAGTCTCGCTTCCACTTTGTGGCGGCAAGACAATATTAAACTACCACAAATGACTTACAAATTTATTAACACTAGAGAATTAAGTATAGTTTGATGTTATCAGTCATTTAGCAGAGAAACATGAGAGCCAAAAAGTGGGGATTACCGTCCATGTCTGATGTTTTAGGGATAATTTCTGCCACTAGGAGGCGCTCTGTACTCCCATCATCGACACCCTTTCCTAGCCATCGACCACAGTTAAACCTGGTAAACACCAAAACAACAACACATGATACACAAAATCAGTGTATACCAATTTACGATTTTGACCCGGATTTCGTCAATTTCACCCGTTTTCACCCGGAATCTTTTCGTATATTAGAAGTTACTGAAGTCACTCGGAATTCTCTAGACTCTTCCATCCTTCTTCACAAGAAAGATGATCTATTTCCTGTTTCCGTTTCTCACCAACAGGTAAGTTGTGAGTTGTTTATATACGTACTAGAACTGTTGTTACAAATGTTTATATAAAGAACCTTGTTACTGAACTTGCCTTCAAGTAATTAGTCAGGTGTTTTAACGAATAATTGAGTTGTTTTTACAATTGTATTTACGTAGAATAGATCGTATTTTGAAGGTAACGTTATGTCTTCTTGAAGAAAGAAGTCATTATCGGGACTTGCAGGTTCTACTTCACGAAATGCTAAAAGAAAAGATTGTGTGTATCAAATGTCGTAGGAAAATGAGTTATAGTGTATAAAGTCCCGCGATCGTGGACCAAACGCTGCATTCTGCACTCTAGTCAAAAACATGCACAGGCATTTAATGATTTGTTTCTGTCAATCAAAATGATCCAAACAATCGGAGTTCAAACCCTACTCGTATAAAACTGATATTTTATATGAGAAGGGTGCAACTTTTTATTGTCAGGACCATTTTCAGTGACAGAAACAAAATGGTATTTTATATGAGCAGAATGTGACATCTTACTGTCAGGACCATTTCAATTGACATAAAAAATGTCTGTGAAAACACAGTATCATATATATTATTATGAGTTAATTTTATAAGTTGTTGTTGACAAATCTTTTTATTTTTCAGCTTTGAATTTGGTATTGTGGATGAGGATCAGCTAGATCTGCTGGAAGAACAGTTCAATGAATGTAGAATGTAACTTTTACCTCATTAAAATATTTAAGTTATAATTTAATATCTATTTTTCTTATATTTCTTGCGAAAAAAGCCGTCGCGCGCTATGACCCTCTTTTAGTATATCTTGGGTTGGCAGGTATGGTGCCCTGTAAATCAGTAAGACTTACTTGTAATTTAGACTTACTTGTACACGTGCCCTGTGAGATCGTTGCGTACCAGTACGTAGTCGACTAGCCATCGAGGTGTCATACCACTGTTGTCATGACCAATCCGTAGTGTGGTCAACACACCTAGATTTTTATGCTGAAACAAGACAGAATTTTTCATACATCATAGTTAACTGGTGTCTATCTTTCTAACAAATATCACAACTGCTTCAAGAGATAGTTTTAAAGATTCCATAGTAGATCTGTAACACTGTATAAAAACCGCCTCCATTGAGATCACTTAGGTTTATTTACATTTGCTCTTGTAACGTCATCAATTTCTATTGTGACGTCATCAATTTCATTGTTGTCAATGTTCAAAACTGTTTGAAATAACTTAATAAAGCACAATTACAGTTGTGTGACTGCACAACGCACCAAAAATACTGTGCGCACCCCGTGCATACATCGTTCACACACCGTCCGCACATCGTTCACACATGGTGCGCACAACTGTGCGATTTAACAATCGTTCGCCCCATTGTGCGCTTCTGTCCGCACAACTGTGCGATTGGATACAATTTGTAGATCAATATTACGGAATGAAAAAAATGCGGAAAGCTCGTATGCAATAATGAAAATTGTATGTATTACTGTAATTTCTCATCACAGTAATGAAAATTATGTACAGTTTTACAATGCATGTTACACAGCATTACAGTGACCGTTAGACTGTCAAGAATGGGTTTTGCTCCAAGGTTACAGAACAGGTAAATAACAATTGATGAGTGACCAGAGTTTTACCTGGCGCCCTGTGCCTGACACAGAGAGCAGATAATACATCTGGGCGTTTAGTATTTGTTATTTGCATTCGGTTTGCCTATAGCACCCCTTCACATGTGTTTTCACACCCCTTGCCCTACCCGACGAAATATGTAAGCACCTCGGGCGGGGGGAAACTACGGTCCAGGTACATGTGTACAAAGTGGCTATGTTTACCTGAATACGGGACTGTGTTGTGATTTCACATGTGTCGATTAAGGTCGTTTAAAAAATACCAAAAATACAATTTCTTAATTTAGGAAAGTATACACATAAAGCTAAGCCTATAGATGTAGGTAGAATATAGAAACATACATAAAAATCAAGTTTATATGTTTAAACACGAAACCGTATATATTGTTAAAGCATTCCTCAATTTACACCAACCACGATTATTATCGCACTACGTTCGTCCATCGTCCGCACAAATGTGCGCAAGCAATAATCGTCCAGATTTCAATCGTTCACGCACCGCACATTGTATAACGTTGTGCGAACCCACAACTGTACTTATTAAATATAAATAATGAATATTTGCTAAAATATTGTCATGGTCCTGTAACACACATTTCTATTACTGACAAACTTACATAAAGCCCTATTAGGCTTTACTAAGTTTGTCATCAATAGCAATGTGTGTTATAGGGCCATAACAACATTTTCTAAAACATGCATTGCTTAAATACTCCAACACTGTATGTAACCTACCTCGAGGTTGAACTCTAGGAGACCCTTAGGAATCTCTGTGACCCCCGTCTCTCCAGCCTGGCCTGCCAGGTTGATCCAGGGGTTAGCACTCGTTGTAGAACATCCAAATTTGGGACAAGGGTAGATTAGAATTTTGTAGGGGACCACTGTAAAGATATGTAACAGGTATAATAAACTGAAGTATATAACCCTGTAACAGTCGGTGTGGTTTTCAATCAGGTCTGGGCAATGTTGTGGAGTGTTTGAGGAATATAAACAAATCTAATTATCAGATATGTATCACCTTGTTTATTCAATGTTGAAATTTACAGCTAGTCAAATAAATACAGACACAAATTTTGAGGGAGGACGTTATCAGAAGGGTAGACACTTCTTAATTATCTGTACCGTTGTAACATGGCCTTACTTGTGTTGGTGAAGCTGTTCGTGAAGCACGAGTAATCAACAGCATTGAGAGATAGGAGGTGGTAAAGGAACTGTTCTCTCTCGTCCTCACACCTCAGGAAGGCATACCGCTTGTATAGGCTCCTGTAAATATACAAATCAGACAATCACCCTCACCCTAAGTCATATCACAGACAATCACCCTCACCCTAAGTCATATCACAGACAATCACCCTCACCCTAAGTCATATCACCAGACAATCACCCTCACTCTAAGTCATATCACCAGACAATCACCCTCACCCTAAGTCATATCACAGACAATCACCCTCACCCTAAGTCATATCACAGACAATCACCCTCACCCTAAGTCATATCACCAGACAATCACCCTCACTCTAAGTCATATCACCAGACAATCACCCTCACCCTAAGTCATATCACCAGCCCATGTGCTAATCTAGCCTATACTTATACAGATGTCCCTGTACTGATATACATGGTATAGCCATGCCCCTGTGCTAATCTAGCCTATACTTATACAAATGTCCCTGTGCAGCTGTAGCAGGTATAGCCATGTCCCTGTGCTGCTCTAGTCTATACTTATACAGATGTCCCTATACTGATGTACATGGTATAGCCACGCCCCTGTGCTAATCTAGCCTATACTTATAATACAGATGTCCCTCTACTGATATACATGGTATAGCCATGCCCCTGTGCTGCTCTAGTCTATACTTATACAAATGTCATGTGCTGCTGTTTAGGGTATAACTACTTACCTGAGAAGCTCTATGTTGCTTAGTAGGATCTTGAGATGGGCAGACAGAACCTTTTTCTCCAGTGCAAGTCTGATCCAGGCTCGTGCATATCCCACATCAGTCCGGATCTCTGTCATCTGTTGTACCTTCCTGTTAGGGGAGACAACTCTATATCACACAACTGCAGATTTACATGGAATTTGCAAATATTGCCAAGTGCAATACTTAACCAAAATCATGTACATCAAAACCAAGGTATTGCTTAGGTGAAAAACATCCATCATTTGAATTCATATAATTTAAAAGCCCCATGGGCCCGTATTGCTCCCTTGTTTTTCAATGATGTTAGCAAACACATCTCACATATCTGTAAACCATCATTGTTGGTCAAATTATTTGAACAAACTTAATAGCAAGCAAACTACCACTACTAGCTAACTATCATTACTCTGCACTTAACAGATCTTTGTTGGAAGATGCACCCTTATCTTACTTAACTAGTAGTCCATAATCTCAACAATTATTTGACTCATTTATTCTTGTAAATTAATGTCAGTCCAAACGAATGTGATAGCCAATCACCATAGCAGGCTTCAGACAAAGATTATAAAGTTACCACCTTAGACCTCATTTTTATTCAAGACAAGTTGTCAAGGTAACTCATTTGCACAAAATTGATAGCCCTTCACCCTCGCAGGCCACTCACCAAATATCATTACCCTATATCTCTTTGCTATTCAAAAGAAGTACTTAAAAGATTGTAACACATAAGACCTTTTGACCTTTAAAATAGGTTGAGGTCATTCATTTGAAAAAAGTAGATTCCCCTCTTACCCTGAATGCTACAAGCCAAATAGCACGATGCTATAGGCTTCTTGGTAAGTCATTTAAAGAAACAAATTGATGCTGGTTGATGGAAAAATAACACTGCACCACAGCAAATACAGAGTTAGCTTTTGAACAGCAAGCTAACAGCCATCATCTATTGATTATAATCCTTACCTTAAATCAAATGTTATTGATGAGGGAAGCGGGTTCAAGGTAGGTAACTCTATTCTCCCAGTGCTACCTTTACGACGGTGAGTTTTACGTTCCAGTGAGCGGGTCCCATCTGTTATTGACATCCCCGACATATCTGTTAAGTAAGAGGTAGGCATATAGTCCGACTTGTATCTCGGGAGGCTTGTATACACCAGTTTACACGATAGACTCCACTACAGTTTAAGCATACATACACCACTAATTACATGATTTGTATATTATTCTTGTTATGAATGGAAAATTGGGACAGCATTGATGTTTGGGAACGCATCAAATTACAAACACAATGCAACACCACAATGTTTTGAAATAATAATCTTTAAACTGAGTATTTGATATATGTAGACATACTGATATAAAGTGTACAAAGATGGTTAAATGTTATAGATTGTATTATCATCTCCAACAAAGTCCTCAGTCAATACTGTCTTATTGTTTACTTAACATCAAATTGATATAAAGGGTCAGAACATTTTTTTAGTAGTAAGAATTATAAATTGCAAAGATTCATTTATTGGTATACTTCTAAATCTACCAATTTATTCTTGAATAAAAATCCATGCAAATGTTGAACTGCAACAGAAGGAATCACTGGAGGCAAAAACCAAACTGGTTGAAAGGATGGGGAGTCCAAACATGCACGATGGTTCAGTTCTGATTAAATATACACAGGTCCAGTGGCTGGCCTTCTACAAGCAGACTGCTTTAAGTTTTGACACAAGCAGCTTGATTCAGACAATTTAATGACAAGAAGCTTGCTTTTGACAGATTTTTCAACATTAAATAGCAGTGTAGATGTCTAGCTTCAGAAAATACGAATAAGTTTGTAAATATCTGCCATTGAATGGTAATGAAATGCAATAGGTTGTTATGATAAATGAAAAATGATCAAAGCAGCTACACTCAACAGATACAGACATGTTTGTTATCTGATTATCATTAACATAGTTCCTACTGGAGAAATGTCTGTTATCTGATTATCATTAACATAGTTCCTCCTGGAGACATGTTTGCTATCTGATTATCATTAACATAGTTCCTACTGGAGACATGTTTGCTAACTGATTATCATTAACATAGTTGCTACTGGAGACATGTTTGTTATCTGATTATCATTAACATAGTTCCTCCTGGAGACATGTTTGTTATCTGATTATCATTAACATAGTTCCTCCTGGAGACATGTTTGCTATCTGATTATCATTAACATAGTTCCTACTGGAGACATATCTGTTATCTGATTATCATTAACATAGTTCCTACTCGAGACATGTCTGTTATCTGATTATCATTAACATAATTCCTACTGGAGACATGTTTGTTATCTGATTATCATTAACATAGTTCCTCCTGGAGACATGTTTGCTATCTGATTATCATTAACATAGTTCCTACTGGATACATGTTTGTTATCTGATTATCATTAACATAGTTCCTCCTGGAGACATGTTTGTTATCTGATTATCATTAACATAGTTCCTCCTGGAGACATGTTTGTTATCTGATTATCATTAACATAGTTCCTCCTGGAGACATGTTTGTTATCTGATTATCATTAACATAGTTCCTACTGGAGACATATCTGTTATCTGATTATCATTAACATAGTTCCTACTGGATACATGTTTGTTATCTGATTATCATTAACATAGTTCCTACTTGAGACATGTTTGTTATCTGATTATCATTAACATAGTTCCTACGGGAGACATGTCTGTTATCTGATTATCATTAACATAATTCCTACTGGAGACATGTTTGCTATCTGATTATCATTAACATAGTTCCTACTGGATACATGTTTGTTATCTGATTATCATTAACATAGTTCCTACTGGAGACATGTTTGTTATCTGATTATCATTAACATAGTTCCTATTGGAGACATGTTACAATTTATGGAGCCTTTTCAATGTGTTATTCTCTTTTGAACAAATTCTCAACAAACAGATAGGTAACCGTAGTGCTGATGACATTTTGGAGAAACTCCTGGGATCAAAGTAATTGCATAATAATTAAATGCTTCACTCAAGCTAGGAGAAGACATGCCATGAAATCAGTGATAAAAGACAACTGAAAATGTTTGAACAGGATTGTTGATGGTGCCGAAACCCCGACGATTAGGTGTGAAGAGATAAAGTGAACCTGATGACAATGTGACAACTGACAGATGGGTATCATTCTTATGTGACTCTATCTTTAGTATACTTGTAGGACAATACACTGGCATAACAGCCATCATCCAAATAAGAATGTGCTTTTTACAAGAATTTCAATAAGAACAATGTCAATTTGAAAATAGGATAAAAACTTTGGTGCTGCCACTTTTGAGTTTACAAGTTGAGGGTGCAACAGATAAGTGTTTTATATATATGCATTATTTTTATCTCAAATCAGCAACAGACACAATATTCTGTCTCATCATATTAAACAATACTAAAACTGTAATCATTGCCCCTGGGTGCCTCCTGAAACTTAATGCCAAAATCAACAGCAACTTTCTCAAACAAATGATTGAAGCATGCACATTTTTTTCTCTGTTAATCTGAGATAAATAAATAAGCAAAATAAAGAAAACGAAAGCAATTTGAAGAATGTCATTATCAAAAACAAAACACTTTGTTGCAAAAGATTGTCTGTTAAGACCAGAAACCTGTATCAAGCAGATGACTGTCTATTGAGGAAAACATGTTCTGTCTTAACAGTGAACAACTAGACAGAGGTATGTGACAACTGAACACACAGGACGACACACGACAAGCTGATGATACCGGAGTGACGTACATTTATTCTGATACCGCCTACGCAGGACACACCATGCCATAGCTAGTGGGGCCGGAAAGGAAATCAGGTGACAGCATTAGTTCAGGAGGCCCCAAACAGGGAAAAAGGATCACATTAATACAATATTGATAATACTGAAAAAAAGAACATTAAGAGTCCCACAAATAGGTCATTTCTGTGAAACAAGCACAGTCATAGACATATCGTGGACTACTTTCTAAAACAATTAAAAGTAACCTACATTATTACCCCAAACATTTTGTTATTACTTTGACAACAATAAATTTAGGCGCCCAATGTGGATTTTGACATAGTAACGATAATAGTGTGCAGCCTTGGCTAATGTTAACTAAATGATATACAATGTGACAACAGTACAATACTAGATAACACAGATTCTAGCTTTACAGTCCTAACCCTAACATTAGATCACATACTGTAAGGAAATCTTCAACCCCCTCATACTTTTACATATCACACCCTGTGTTCTTTTTCGAATTTCCACTCCTCATTTGTTTTAACTTTTACACCCCTAATATTTTATTACCACGGTATTCCACACTTTTATGTCTGTCGATTTAAGTATTTAGTTACCTTTATTTAAATATTAGATAACATTATTTTTTACATCCTCAATGGTTTGATTATACTCATGTTGAGGTTAATGAATTTAGATATTGACTTCGATGTTACTGTTTTTAGAAGCAGTAGGTTAATATTCTCTATGTATTGCTCACTCATTATATTTCACAAGCATTTGTGAATTTCTCACATGTTGGATTTTATTTTAAAAGTAAAAGGAAGAAATTTGACAGGGCTAAAATATCACAGATATTTATGATGTTATAGCCCTACCACATACACATTTAGGGACATATAATAAGTTTACAGTTGTCCTCCCAGTAACATATTTAGGGACGTCCTCTGAGTATAAGTTTACAGCTGTCCTCCCAGTAACATATTTAGGGACGTCCTCTGAGTATAAGTTTACAGCTGTCCTCCCAGTAACATATTTAGGGACGTCCTCTGAGTATAAGTTTACAGCTGTCCTCCCAGTAACATATTTAGGGACGTCCTCTGAGTATAAGTTTACAGCTGTCCTCCCAGTAACATATTTAGGGACGTCCTCTGAGTATAAGTTTACAGCTGTCCTCCCAGTAACATATTTAGGGACGTCCTCTGAGTATAAGTTTACAGCTGTCCTCCCAGTAACATATTTAGGGACGTCCTCTGAGTATAAATTTACAGCTGTCCTCCCAGTAACATATTTAGGGACGTCCTCTGAGTATAAATTTACAGCTGTCCTCCCAGTAACATATTTAGGGACGTCCTCTGAGTATAAATTTACAGCTGTCCTCCCAGTAACATATTTAGGGACGTCCTCTGAGTATAAATTTACAGCTGTCCTCCCAGTAACATATTTAGGGACGTCCTCTGAGTATAAATTTACAGCTGTCCTCCCAGTAACATATTTAGGGACGTCCTCTGAGTATAAATTTACAGCTGTCCTCCCAGTAACATATTTAGGGACGTCCTCTGAGTATAAATTTACAGCTGTCCTCCCAGTAACATATTTAGGGACGTCCTCTGAGTATAAATTTACAGCTGTCCTCCCAGTAACATATTTAGGGACGTCCTCTGAGTATAAGTTTACAGCTGTCCTCCCAGTAACATATTTAGGGACGTCCTCTGAGTATAAGTTTACAGCTGTCCTCCCAGTAACATATTTAGGGACGTCCTCGGAGTATAAGTTTACAGCTGTCCTCCTAGTAACATATTTAGGGACGTCCTCTGAGTATAAGTTTACAGCTGTCCTCCCAGTAACATATTTAGGGACGTCCTCGGAGTATAAGTTTACAGCTGTCCTCCTAGTAACATATTTAGGGACGTCCTCTGAGTATAAGTTTACAGCTGTCCTCCCAGTAACATATTTAGGGACGTCCTCGGAGTATAAGTTTACAGCTGTCCTCCTAGTAACATATTTAGGGACGTCCTCTGAGTATAAGTTTACAGCTGTCCTCCTAGTAACATATTTAGGGACGTCCTCGGAGTATAAATTTACAGTTGTCCTCCCAGGAACACATTTATGGATGACAACACACCCTTTTCAGGTTTAACATCTGATGGTATTCCACAAGTACAGTATGAACATGAATAGCACTAGAGATAAAGTGAAAGTTGCAGCAGTGCTATAAAGTCATAGAGAGTCTAGCTTTGTGTACAGCCTACAGGTGTTGTGAACATGATACCTAATAAGCTCTACTGACCACTGGTCAGTCAGACTCAGACATCAAAAGTCAGGTCCCTTTCACCATATCAATGCTTATTTTCTTTTAAGGTATAATATATAAACAGTTGATACTTTACAAAGTTTAAATGCAAATTAATGAAGCAAAGATTTAACACGTCAGGTATTTTGTGTAAAATATTCACACTTTGAGTTTATTGTGTAAAATATTCACACTTTGAGTTTATTGTGTTAAAGTATTCACACTTTGAGTTTATTGTGTTACAAGTATTCACACTTTGAGTTTATTGTGTAAAATGTTCATCAGTTAAAAAATACAAAACTTGACCTTGACCCTTTGGACCCTGTAACCTTGACCTTAGGTCATTTGACTTGGTGTTAAGTTCTGTACAATTTTGCTTCATAATAACATAAAAATAATGTTCATCAGTAAAAAGATACAATATTTGACATTGACCCAATGACCTTGACCTTTCGTCAGTTGACTCCTTGTTTAATTCTGACCAACTTTGCTTCATAATGTCCTAACAAAATGTTCATCAGGGAAAAGATACAAAATTTGACCCTTGACCTTTGACAAAGTGACCTTGACTTTTGGTCAATTGACTCCTTGTTTAATTATGAGCTACATTGCTTCAAAGCATCATAATGAAATATTCACCAGTGGAAAGATACAAAATTTAACCTTGACCTTTGATCCAATGACCTTGACCTTTGTTCAGTTGACTTCTTATTTACTTCTGAATAATATTGCTCCATAGTGTCATAACAAAATGTTCATCAGTGAAAAAATGCAAAAATAGACCTTGACCTTTGAACCTAATGACCTTGACCTTTGACCTCGACTTTTTACCACAGTGTGTCTCTTTGTTTAATTTCGACCAACTTTGCTTCATATTGTCATAAAATGCTCATTAGTGAAAAGCTACAAAATTTGACCTTGACCTTTGACCTAGACCTTTGACCCGATGACCTTGACCTTCGATCAGTTGACTCCTTGTTTAATTCTGATCAACTTTGCTTCATCATGTCATAACAAAATGCTCATCAGTGAAAAGATGCAAAATTTGACCTGGACCTTTTAACCTTATGACCTTGACTTTTGACCTTGACTTTTTAACCGAGTGTGTAATTTTTGGACTGAACATCTTGTAAATCGGTCAATTAATACCAAAGTTATTAGCCAGGAACAAAATTTGTGGACAGACAGACAGACAGAGTGATTACTAAAGGACACCCGTATCTCTGATACGGGGCCCTAATTATTAACACACAGAGTTTATTGTGTAAAGGTATTCACTCACTGAGTTTATTGTGTAAAGGTATTCATACACTGAGTTCATTGTGTCAAGGTATTTGCACACTGAGTTTATTGTGTAAAGGTATTAACACACTGAGTTTATTGTGTAAAGGTATAGACTCACTGAGTTTATTGTATAAATTATTAACACACAGAGTTTATTGTGCAAAGGTATTCATACACTGAGTTTATTGTGTAAAGGTATTCACTCACTGAGTTTATTGTGTAAATTATTAACACACAGAGTTTATTGTGTAAAGGTATTCATACACTGAGTTTATTGTGTAAAGGTATTCATACACTGAGTTTATTGTGTAAAGGTATTCACTCACTGAGTTTATTGTGTAAAGGTATTCACACACAGAGTTTATTGTGTTAAGGTATTCACACACTCAGTTTATTGTGTAAAGGTATTAACACACAGAGTCTATTGTTTTAGGGTATTCACAAGAAAATTAAGAATTACAGTAATAATTTGGTAGAAGAAAAGCCACATTGATATGGTGTAGGATCCTGATGAGGCCCAGTACTTACTACAGATCGATAGATACACATCAACTACAGACGACAAGTCCGCCTTGTTCATGGCCAACTCCGGCCGTTCTTCTGGAGCAAATAGCATTCCTATAAGTACATTAACTGACCCCACACAAACTGACCTGTCTGAACTTAATGTTTATATGACCCCTTCTGAACTGACCTGTCTGACTTCCATGTTTATTTGATGTATATCTAGGTTTGATAGAAACCCAGTTTTTGTTCAATTTTACTATCATATATATATATACATACTATATAGAACAGTTATTTAAAAACAAAAATTTAATAAATACAGAGATTCTTGGATGTGAAATGTCTAGAATAATAAACGCATATGCAGGTACTCACTTGTAATCAACAACAGAGTATTTCAGTCAGGATAATGTAATGGTGATACTTGTAAAATGATAAAAACATTCACAACAATTTGGTTTCTGATTGAACTCTCGGTAGCTATTGCTATTGAACACTGGTAGCAAGCATAGCATTAAACTTGATATTGTTTCCTAATGAACTAAAATCTTTAATCAGTCATATTCATCACAGCATATCTACCACCAAAAACAATTTACTCCACTGTACATGAAATGAAACTGAAACAAAGTGTCATTGAGGTAAACAAATTAAAAAATGAATAAAAAGAAGAGAATAACATCAAAAAAATAAATGTATCTAAACATGAGCATGCTTCATCTGTAAGTCATCTATTTCTATAACAGAACAAATATAGGAAGACGTTTTGTACAGCAAACTTTCTATCCCAAATACCCAGGGTATAACTATTGGATAGCATCACTGTATTCAAAATATATTATTATACACTCTAATCATTTACTATGCTAAATGACTTTATTCTGAAGGTAATGATACGCCAGTGTGGTAATGATGTGAAACATCAGTGTGGTAATGATGTGCTATGTCAGTGTGGTAATGATGTGATATGTCAGTGTGGTAATGATGTGATACATCAGTGTGGTAAAGATGTGATATGTCAGTGTGGTAATGATGTGAAATGTCAGTGTGGTAATGATGTGATATGTCAGTTTGGTAATGATGTGATACATCAGTGTGGTAATGATGTGATATGTCAGTGTGGTAATGATGTGATACGTCAGTGTGGTAATGATGTGATATGTCAGTGTGGTAATGATGTGATACGTCAGTGTGGTAATGATGTGATATGTCAGTGTGGTAATGATGTGATACGTCAGTGTGGTAATGATGTGATATGTCAGTGTGGTAATGATGTGATACGTCAGTGTGGTAATGATGTGATATGTCAGTGTGGTAATGATGTGATACGTCAGTGTGGTAATGATGTGATATGTCAGTGTGGTAATGATGTGATACGTCAGTGTGGTAATGATGTGATATGTCAGTGTGGTAATGATGTGATACGTCAGTGTGGTAATGATGTGATATGTCAGTGTGGTAATGATGTGATACGTCAGTGTGGTAATGATGTGATATGTCAGTGTGGTAATGATGTGATACGTCAGTGTGGTAATGATGTGATATGTCAGTGTGGTAATGATGTGATACGTCAGTGTGGTAATGATGTGATATGTCAGTGTGGTAATGATGTGATACGTCAGTGTGGTAATGATGTGATATGTCAGTGTGGTAATGATGTGATACGTCAGTGTGGTAATGATGTGATATGTCAGTGTGGTAATGATGTGATACGTCAGTGTGGTAATGATGTGATATGTCAGTGTGGTAATGATGTGATACGTCAGTGTGGTAATGATGTGATATGTCAGTGTGGTAATGATGTGATACGTCAGTGTGGTAATGATGTGATATGTCAGTGTGGTAATGATGTGATACGTCAGTGTGGTAATGATGTGATATGTCAGTGTGGTAATGATGTGATACGTCAGTGTGGTAATGATGTGATATGTCAGTGTGGTAATGATGTGATACGTCAGTGTGGTAATGATGTGATATGTCAGTGTGGTAATGATGTGATACGTCAGTGTGGTAATGATGTGATATGTCAGTGTGGTAATGATGTGATACGTCAGTGTGGTAATGATGTGATATGTCAGTGTGGTAATGATGTGATATGTCAGTGTGGTAATGATGTGATATGTCAGTGTGGTAATGATGGCATACATCAGTGTGGTAAAGATGTGCTATGTCAGTGTGGTAATGATGTGATACGTCAGTGTGGTAATGATGTGATACGTCAGTGTGATAATGATGTGATATGTCTGTGTGGTAATGATGTGATATGTCTTCAGTGTGTAATAATGTGCTATGTCAGTGTGGTAATGATGTGATATGTCAGTGTGATAATGATGTGATACGTCAGTGTGGTAATGATGTGATACGTCAGTGTGGTAATGATGTGATACGTCAGTGTGGTAATGATGTGATGTCAGTGTGGTAATGATGTGATACGTCAATGTGGTAATGATGTGATACGTCAGTGTGGTAATGATGTGATATGGCAGTGTGGTAATGATGTGATATGGTAATAATGTGATACATCAGTGTGGTAAAGATGTGCTATGTCAGTGTGGTAATGACGTGATACGTCAGTGTGGTAATGATTTGATACATCAGTGTGGTAATGATGTTATATGTCAATGTGGTAATGATGTGATACATCAGGGTGGTAATGATGTGATATGTCAGTTTGGTAATGATGTGATGCATCAGTGTGGTAATGATGTGATATGGTAATAATGTGATACATCAGTGTGGTAAAGATGTGATATGTCAGTGTGGGAATGATGTGATACATCAGTGTGGTAACGCTGTGATATGTCAGTGTGGTAATGAGGTGATATGTCAGTGTGGTAATGAGGTGATATGTCAGTGTGGTAATGATGGAATACATCAGTGTGGTAAAGATGTGCTATGTCAGTGTGGTAATGACGTGATACGTCAGTGTGGTAATGATGTATCACATCATTACCACACTGTCATATCACATCATTACCACACTGCCATATCACATCATTACCACACTGCCATATCACATCATTAGCACACTGATGTATCACATCATTACCCCACTGACATATCACATCATTACCTCACTGATGTATCACATCATTACCAGACTGACATATCACATCATTACCACGCTGACGTATCACATCATTACCACATTGACGTATCACATCATACCACACTGACATATCAAATCATTACCACACTGACGTATCATATCATTATCACACTGACATATCACATCTTTACACACTGATGTATCACATCATTACCCCACTGACATAGCACATCATTCCCACACTGACGTAGCACATCATTACCACACTGACTTAGCACATCATTACCACACTGACGTAGCACATCATTACCACACTGACGTATAACATCATTACCACCCTGACTTAGCACATCATTACCACACTGACATAGCACATCCTTACCACACTGACGTAGCACATCATTACCACACTGACATAGCACATCTTTACCACACTGATGTATTCCATCATTACCACACTGACATATAACATCTTTACACACTGATGTATCACATCATTACAACACTGACATATCACATCATTACAACACTGAGGTATCACATGATTACCACACTGACATATCACATCTTTACCACACTTATGTATCACATCATTACCACACTGTCATAGCACATCATTACCACACTGATGTATCAAATCATTACCACACTGACATATCATATCATTACACACTGCAGACATATCACATCATCACCACACTGATGTATCACATCATAACCACACTGACATATCACATCCTTCCCACACTGACGTATCACATCATTACCCCACTGACATAGCACATCATTCCCACACTGACGTAGCACATCATTACCACACTGACATATGATGTATCAAATCATTACCACACTGACATATCATATCATTACAACACTGACATATCACATCATTACCACACTGAATACGTCAGTGTGGTAATGATGTGATATGTCAGTGTGGTAAGGAGACATATCAGACTAAGTCAGGTTACAAGTTATGTTAACTTAGTGTTGTTATAACTACATGAAATATGTGTATATTTTGATAATTTTTCATGGTCTCCGTTTTCTGCACCTGCCACATTCAATCATGTACTTGCATACGAAATCTGGTTATTCCAAGTGAAATAGTACAGAAGATATGTCCTGGACAAAATTTTGGCCAACTTTCATATAAAATGGGGCAACCCTCCAATAGTAATGGCCAGAACGAAATGTAACTTGCAAGTGTACCATTTCAGAGTGTGTTGATTACATCAGTGAAGTTTCATGAAATTCAGGTAAAAGCTATGTAGAATGGGAGTTGTCTGGACACAAACAGAGGGACACATGGATTCCAGTATACCCCTCCTACTTTTGTTGTGGGGAGTACAATAATGATAGATGTAAGCTATAGCCTGTTGAGTTTCTACGAGTATTATACTTCCAAGGATTAAGTTCACTCACAATTCATTTTTATTAAAAGCAGAAATGGTCTGTAATCAAAAGGTAAAAATCCCCACTCTACAGGGGGATGGGGGTCTTAAACAGAAAACACTAAATCCTTAAAAGAAACAAAACAAAAGGAAACTAAACGAAAATTACATGACTGCCAAAACCGAATAAGAAATAAACAAATGCTGATCACCAAATTAATTTAAGTTGTAAAAATTAAACCTGTCCACCAAAAGGTTACATAAAATGCCATACTCATGTTACAGTGCAGGGCATGGTATCCATAACCACAGCTTACCTATACACCGACTTTGTTCCCACTCCAACCAGTTGTCATTGGGGGTAGGATGAGTTACCTCCCCTGATGAAATAGGACCAGTGTTATCTACATAGACATTAACCAGTGAATATGACCCCATGTGTCACCCGTAATGTAACCTCCTTCAAAAGTAACATCTAGTTCTCAGTTTTTGTCTTTACATTTTATAAATCCAGGAAATTGGATTCTGTTCCTGAAAGATCAGGTATCTTCTTAACCTTCTCATATGTCACGATAATGATGCTAACTCCTTATAAACATATTCCTACTTTATCTGTCATATGTGGAAAACCGAAAAATACAAAAACAATTTGTAGTTTTGCTAAATTATCCCTGATAATGATGTGCATAATTAAGATTCGATGTACAGAGAGTGACAGGAAATTAGCCCGATTTTGTAAACAGCAAAGAGGTACAGACCAGGCTGTAATGAGGGGAGATAACTGTTCAGATTCTGTATACAGTGGTATTTCTTAGACCCAATAATACTGAGGAATATAACAGCTAAGACTCATTACCTGTATAACTGATGTGGGGAAGCAATCACACATGCTAATATCAATATTTTTTTTGTGAGCATCTAATTTTAGCCAAAAGGGGATGATAAAATCACAAATAAATAAGCCAAACTTTTGATCACATTCTGAAAAGAATCTTCACATTTGCAGAAGTAAATAACTTTTTAAAATTTTGTGCTTGGTATTTTATTATCAGATTGTTCTTACAGGTTATATAGTGTTCTTCAGCATAATTTGAAAGCTGTTTTTAATTTCTACGTTTCAGATTGATAAAAAGATGGCTTAAGCCAAAACAGTATTCAATAATAATAAAGGGAGGTAATCACTCAGATTCAGCAATACCAAGTGGAGGTAATCACACAGAATCAGTAATTATTAGGGGAGGTTATCACACACATGAAATCAAAACTAAAGCAATAAAACAGCGTTAGTTATACATGGGAGGCTAATAACTCCAATTTAGGAGAGACTGCCTCACATCAGTTATTTTCAGAGCTACAGAAAACAATAGTTCATTACCAGTAAGTACAATTAGTAAATGTGTTTCTAATTCTATGTTCTCTGTACACTACTATACAAGTATATTGGAGTAATTAGTGACTTAGTACAAACACTCCACACAGCTTACAGATTATACAACCATTAACCGTCAATTAGACAGAAGTCAAAATTTACAGTTACTTAGTAAACACATTCAATCCAATACAGTTATCTTTTAAATGTACACAAACAACCACACAAATTCCTTACAGATTACCACACAGGTTTATATATTAACACACTTATATAGCCATTCACAGACATTTGTAGACAGAGGATTGTTAACCTACCTGGTGATAGCAGGTTAGTGTCGAGGAACTTGTTGCCTTGGTTACACTCCTCTAACTCCTGGAAACTCTTTAAATGGGACCACAGTGCCGACTTTCCCTGTAGGCAGGAAATCTTGTATATACCAGTCTACTCACCACTCAATCTAAATATCACTGACCATCATGTCAACAATCAATTATAACTGAATAAGTGTATTATCCATTCAAATAGTTTAAAATAGGGACAATATTTCGGTATCCTATAGGTCTCGGTGACGTTTTGCCAACATGAACTCTTTCAATAACTGAGGTCAGAGATCAAACTTTAGACCATAGTGACCTCCTTGAATATCCTTAGATGTACTTGCATGCCAAATGGTAACTTCAGGTGAAATAATATGCCATAAAACACTTTCTTTAAGGAAAGTCGATAACACAAGGACGGGGTACAAACCTAAAATCTAATAAAAGAATATAAATTGTTATTCTTGGACGTATTCGGTGGCCGGGGGCGCAGTGGATAGCGCACTTGGCTTTCACCAATGTGGCAGGGTTTGATTACCCAATTGGATGTGAAAAGGTATGTGTTCACCTGTCCGACCATGTAGGTTATCTCCAGGTAATCCGGTTTCCTCCCACATTAAGGCCCCCTGCGCACTAATATCCCGGCCAACAAGAGCGATTAATATAAGTTGAAATAACTTGTTTCATAACTATTGTAAAAAAACATTTATTTTTTGAGATTTAGATTCTTCGAAGTATTACCTTTTTAAACTGTATACCATGTCCCCAGATCCTCTCCAGTAGATCACACAGGCTGGCTATGAGGGTGTTTTCCTCCACTCCTGTGATGTTACCGTGTCCAAGTTCCACTGCCTCATGGCCCATCTTATCCACCAACATACGCTTTGTCTGCACAAAGTTTTCAGTGGATTTTAATACAAACATAATAGTTTTAATAAACATTCAAATTAATGTCTGCAACTGGACCAATACCAACCATCCCCTAACACTTGAACTCATATGACAGTATCACTCACCTTAGACTTACACTCACATGTCAATCACCTTAGACTTACACTCAGATGTCCCTCACCTTAGACTTACACTCAGATGTCACTTATCTTAGACTTACACTCAGATGTCATTCATCTTAGACTTCACTAAGATGTCACTTATCTTAGACTTACACTAAGATGTCACTTATCTTAGACTTACACTCAGATGTCATTCACCTTAGACTTACACTCAGATGTCATTAACCCTAGACTTACACTCAGATGTCATTCACCTTAGACTTACACTCAGATGTCACTCACCTTAGACTTACACTCCTGTAAGAGTGTCTCCACAAACTTCCAGTTGGTCTGGGCCATACTCGCTGCGGACATGTCAGAAAGCTTAGGTTGACGCAGACCTTTAGTCCTCGCCTCCTGCATGTATTTCTAATCAAACAAATTGTAATGAATTAGCTAGGTTTTTTTATTTCTTTTTTAAACAAATTATTTACCTGGTATTATGAATTACTGTTTTAACTTCTTCATGAAACCAGTAATTTTTCGTTAATTCTAAGTGAAGCTAACACCGAAAATTTTATTCTTTACAGAGTAGTCAAATGAAATTAAACACTAACTGATTCTATTGATATCTATAAAATACATGTGTACACTGTTGATATTAATGTTTACTTTAATGGTGTCAATCTTTGGAGTATGTAAAATTTCGACAGACACCATCAATAATCAACACTTTAACTCAAAATTTGGAAACAACAATTACATGATTGTTCAAAAGAGAGAAAATACATGTGCATATACCTCGTACTGTAGAAGGTAGGTGTTGTACAAATATGTATATCTTCACAGAACACATTCAAGACAACAATAACAGAAATGTAAGAGTTTCAAGACATTTATATACCTAATTAGTTGCTAATATAAGTAAAGTATCTTTTAAGTATTTTGAACAAGTACATTTATGACCACTCAAACTGTGAGGACAATATGGTATTGGGAAAAATTTAATTACAAGATGAAAATGTGAAAATTCAGCTTATCTACTCCTAGCAAAGTGGCTTTCAACAGGACCCAAATACACTAATTTTACCTATAGAAATACTGAGGACATAACTTTTTTATGCACAGAAAGATACATTAACATCCTTTACAATGTTAATCTTTATAGTCATGCTGTGATAACAGGAGTTTGTTGGATTATTTAATAACATACAAGAGATCCCAGAGGGATCTTGGCGCCCACCTTTGTACCATCTTCGTTAGTTCTTTGTCAGTTTGATCTTTTCTCTTCTTTCCTCTAATCTGTTTGATCGAGTCATGTTAACAGTAAATGCACCTTGAGGTAACTTTTGATCTAAACTTAATACTGATGTGTATGAAAGCCAACCTTCAAAGTGAGTTTGTCATTTCACATATTTACTAGTACAGTACTTAATGTGAAAGAAATAGAATCGATCATTGCAATATGAGAAAGATCTGTTTAGTTCTTCTTTTAATCCATTTTGTTGTTATGATCAGTCTCAAAATATAACATACACAACGAGGGATCAAGGGGAACCTACATTTAAAATTTGAGAAAGATCCCTCCTGTACTTCCCGAGAAATAGCGATAACAAACTTTCACTATCAAAATTCCAAGATGGCTGCCTGTCGGCCATGTTGTTCATCCGATCAATCTCTAAAATTGCCCTGCACAGCTAGGACCAAGGGGAACCTACATATAAAATTTAAAAAAGATCCCTCTAGTTCTTCCGGAGAAATAGCGGTAACAAACCTACACTATCAAAATCCAAGATGGCTACCTGTCGGCCATGTTGTTTATCCGATCAATCTCAAAAGTTGCCCTGCACAGCTAAGGACCAAGGGGAACCTACATATAAAATTTAAGAAAGATCCCTCTGGTACTTCTTGAGAAATAGCGATAACAAACTTTCACTATCAAAATCCAAGATGGCTGCCTGTTGGCCATGTTGTTTATTCGATCAGTCTCAAAAGTTGCACTGCACAGCTAAGGACCAAGGGGAACCTACATGTAAAATTTGAGAAAGATCCCTCTGGTACTTCTTGAGAAAGAGCGATAACAAACTTTCACTATCAAAATCCAAGATGGCTGCCTGTCGGCCATGTTGTTTATCTGATCAGTCTCAAAAGTTGCCCTGCACAGTGGCCCGGTACAATGTATATAGCCAACACAGAGTCACTGGGCAAACACTGGTGTAGGACTGGTAAAATGTATATAGCCAACACAGGGGCACTGGGCAAACCCTGGTGTAGGACATAGCCAACACAGGGGCACTGGGCAAACCCTGGTGTAGGACTGGTACATTGTATATAGCCAACACAGGGCAGGGCACTGGGCAAACCCTGGTGTAGAACTGGTGCAATGTATATAGCCAACACAGGGACACTGGGCAAACCCTGGTGTAGGACTGGTACAATGTATATAGCCAACACAGGGGCACTGGGCAGGCCACGGATTTTAGAGGTGACATGGAGCGAAGTCAGTTGTAAAACAGATATATACAACATTAAAACCACAGATATAAATCTCCAAGTCTGAAACCCCGGGGAATTACACCCTTTTTACTTCAGATATTATCTGACATCCAAATTTCTACAAATCACTAAATCTAAGCCAGTCTGACAATGTGTTTGTCCACTGTGACATCATGTCCACACATTTTTCTTTTTTTTTTCATTAATAAATGATATGCATTGTTATTTTAAAATATATATATAACATTACTGTTTCACATAATCAATCATACCATATAAGGTGTAAGAGGTATGAACTGTTTTATGATAATTATATATCATCAGTTACTACATCCTACTGTCTACATTTGCTTGACACATTTTAAAGTTAATGCAGAACTACAATAAAAATGACTGATGTCAAAATAATTTACAATGTACAACACTGTATGATCATAGGGTATATAGTGTATGGTCTAAATTCATACAGCACTCTTCAACTTCTTTTTTGTATAATCAGGAACTAAAATGTGTGATAAAATTTTGGTTTTCATGAACATTTTTCATATTTTGCTATTTAGAAAATGTTGGCAAAGCTGCAATTTAATTTCTGGAATCCATAAGAAATCAAACCCTTAAAGAACTTTTGGTCTACTTTTGTTTCGAGATTCTTGCTTCTATGCAAGGTATCATTGGTATTACTGAAGATGGGCATGTACCATAGCTTTGTGCCTTAGCTGTATAATTATCTGGCTGATAACTTATCACTGACTATAGGCTTCAATAACAGTGACAAAACACTACAGATAACTGTACAATCTCATCAGTAGAGCTACAAACCAATCACAAGATTTCCATGAGAGAAATGTTACATATAAATAGAAGCTTGTAGGCTGTAGTGGATTAAGTGGTGGACACCAACTGATGCTGACAGAAGTGTGTGGTGTACCAGAGAACAGTGGTAAGACATGCCTATAAGTATAGTTATAGCAGGACAAGATTTCTCAGCCGTTGTTACTCCAGTCATCTACACATAACAAATATTTCTCTGCCTCCTTCTGGCAAACAGTCCAATCAATTTATTAGATTTATTAACTTTTCATTCAATTCAGAGTTCTGAAGTAAATTTATTCTACCAGATACTGTATAGCAATTTTATTTAGCATTGGTATTATTTTCACTCAGAACACAATCTACATATCTGAAGTTCCATGAATCATGTGTAAAACACCACAAAATGAAAATATGATACCCAGCTATGTATGTGCAATACAAGATCAAATCAACTTTATTAAAAAAGTAAAAGAAGCAAAATTACAAAACTTTGAACCCGCGAAATTGAAATGCTATACAGTATCATTGTCTGATCAATACGACACTGTGTGACCTTGAACTTGTCTGATAGAGACTGTACAGCAGACAAAGTGAGCCGTGACTCACTCAGCAATGCACAAAACTCAAAATGTACTCACGAGCCACATTTTGGCATGCCTCTGTGCTAGAGCCTTCATTCAAAACAACAGAAACACAGCCTCCGTACAAAATCATCACCCAACAACATACAATATTTACTAGCCTACTTCTGAATTTATAAACACACACTTGTACTTAATTAATTGAGAAATTAAGTCTGAATGGTTTTGTACAATGAGCTGATCAATCAATGGTTTGAGACATATGAGACCATCCTAAGAGGTTTCCACATACAAAATTTGGTAATTGTAGGTAAAGGAGACACCTAAATGCTATCTATTTTGGGAAACATTAACAACTAAATGCTATCTATTTTGGGAAACATTAACAACTAAATGCTATCTATTTTGGGAAACATTAACAACTAAATGCTATCTATTTTGGGAAACATTAACAACTAAATGCTATCTATTTTGGGAAACATTAACAACTAAATGCTATCTATTTTGGGAAACATTAACAACTAAATGCTATCTATTTTGGGAAACATTAACAACTAAATGCTATCTATTTTGGGAAACATTAACAACTAAATGCTATCTATTTTGGGAAACATTAACAACTAAATGCTATCTATTTTGGGAAACATTAACAACTAAATGCTATCTATTTTGGGAAACATTAACAACTAAATGCTATCTATTTTGGGAAACATTAACAACTAAATGCTATCTATTTTGGGAAACATTAACAACTAAATGCTATCTATTATTTCTTCATTAAATAAGAAAATGAAATAAGAAAATTTTAACAAAATATAGCAATTACAACACATAAAGCGAGTATCTACAGTCTTCTGTTTGGTAGATACGATGTACAATGTCTTCTTATAAAACAATATCAAACCACTAGGTATGTCACTGTTTTATAAATAAACAACTCTGGTCCTACCGGTCCAACTATTTGAAACACAATAAACAAAAACAGACTATGTAAAACATTATCCCTTATTGTACCTCACGCTGGTCCGAGTTCAGCTTGATGTGTTCAGAGTGCTGCATCAGACGGTCCTTCCGTCTCCACTTGGCTCCTTCCCTAGATTTCCCTCTGGAAACAGAACAAATACCTGATACCATGTGACAACACCATGTGACAAAATTCTTCAAGAATCATTTCATCATGTCATTTTATATTCAAGCATTGTTACTGCAGTTTTCCTGTGTTAGTTTTATTTCTATGTTAGATCATAATGTTTGCCGAGATATTCTATGGTAACAGAGCATGCTGTCTTCAACCGTAATGTAACGCTACTGATATTATTATTTTTTTCTGGAATTCATTTACCATATGTTTAAATCCTAAATGGTAACCTACTTCACAGCTGTAGGTTCCTTGTTGAGAATCTCTGCATCTAGTTTGGGGAAGATGCCCGGCTCCTGGGGTGCAGTGTTCTCCTGGTCCTCCAGGCTGTGTGGCTTAGGGGACACATGGTCTATGTAGATCACACGCTTTTGTAGCATTGTCTCTGAAATAACAGCTACACAGTTGGAAAATCTAATATGTAACTTCACACTACACATAGTTAGAAACACTGACACCTTACTTCACACTACACACAGTTAGAAACTCTGACATCTAACTTCATTCCAAGAGGAGACATAATGAATGCAATTTCAAACCTACTGACACAGACTCACCACCAGATTCATACATGTATGTGTGTGTGTGATCTTCTGACACATACATGTACACCACATACATGTAGCCGCTAGTAATACCATGCGAGTATGTGTGTGTGATCAAACCTACCTGTATCTACTAGAGTTGTACATTGTGAGTAGCTGTGTGTGTGTGATCAACCCTACCTGTATCTACTAGAGTTGTACATTGTGAGCAGGTGTGTGTGTGTGATCAAACCTACCTATATCTACTAGAGTTGTACATTGTGAGTAGGTGTGTGTGTGATCAAACCTACCTGTTTCTACTAGAGTTGTACATTGTGAGTAGGTGTGTGTGTGTTCAAACCTACCTGTATCTACTAGAGTTGTGCATTGTGAGCAGGTGTGTGTGTGATCAAACCTACCTGTATCTACTAGAGTTTTACATTGTGAGTAGGTGTGTGTGTGTGATCAAACCTACCTTATCTACTAGAGTTGTGCATTGTGAGCAGGTGTGTGTGTGATCAACCCTACCTGTATCTACTAGAGTTGTAAATTGTGAGCAGGTGTGTGTGTGTGATCAACCCTACCTGTATCTACTAGAGTTGTAAATTGTGAGCAGGTGTGTGTGTGTGATCAACCCTACCTTATCTACTAGAGTTGTGCATTGGGAGCAGGTGTGTGTGTGTGATCAAACCTACCTTATCTACTAGAGGTGTGCATTGTGAGCAGGTGTGTGTGTGATAAAACCTACCTGTATCTACTAGAGTTTTACATTGTGAGTAGGTGTGTGTGGGTGATCAAACCTACCTTATCTACTAGAGGTGTGCATTGTGAGCAGGTGTGTGTGTGATCAAACCTACCTTATCTACTAGAGTTGTTCATTGTGAGTAGTTGTGTGTGTAATCAAACCTACCTGTATCTACTAGAGTGGTGCATTGTGAGTAGTTGTGTGTGTGATCAAACCTACCTGTATCTACTAGAGTTGTACATTGTGAGTAGGTGTGGGTGATATTTTCTCCTAAGATTTCCTTCAGTATCTTAAGCCTGGAATCAAACACTCGCAGCTGTGGTTCTTGGTCTTCCCATTGACTTAGAATTTTATTGTCTACCATCGTTGTAAACATCTGCGTCTCTGTAAAGGATGATAAAAATGGGAGATAGCCCTCTGGCTGGTCACTAAGGAATGCTGCCTTGTCAAAGTTCTGCATCGACTCTCGGTTATTTAACCAGGCATCCATGTCCTGGTTAGGTTGAATCACAAATGTCTCGTACGAACTGAACAGGTGTAGGAAATGGTTTAGGAAAATCTCACGCACCGTATTGTTGAACTTAAGGTCCTCTATTTCCTTCACACTCATGGACGATGGGTCACGTGATCCTGCCTCCTTACTGTCCTTGCTCGGCATGTCCGAGAACTCTTCAATAGACGACCACACCCCTGTTTTCTTAGCAAGTGCAGATATCTTAGCAAAGGCTTCACTCTGCTGAAGAATCTCCATTTTGTTAGTTTTTAGTGCATCCTCCTTACTGAGACTGCGACGGGGACTGGCCTGTTTAGGATTTACTGCAGGGTCGGTCTTAGCAGTCTCCACCTTTTCCCGGTATAGTCGTGTCCGATGGATACTACACACATTGATGAGCTCTTCGGTCAACTCCTGGAGGTGGGGAAACCTTGGCAGCTCTTCTGGCACATCAACAGTCTTCTCATCCAAGTCCACAAAACACATGTTAGCCTGCATAAACAAGACAGGCATTGACAGGCTGACATGTACTTGTATAAACATTAATGGATGATTTCATGCCATCACAAAATAATTATTTGAAAATTTCATTTAATCCATTAAACTATATGACTTGAATCTACACACACATCTACTTGTAAAAATGGTGCCAGGAATTACCAATGGTTTCCACCATCAATTAAATAGTCAAGGGATATGGCTAGTCACATCGTAGTCTTCAGTCTATCAATTATATAGTCAAGGGATATGACGAATGACATCCTAGTCCTCAGTCTATCAATTATATAGTCAAGGGATATGACTAATCACATCCTAGTCCTCAGTCTATCAATTATATAGTCAAGGGATATGGCTAGTCACATCGTAGTCTTCAGTCTATCAATTATATAGTCAAGGGATATGGCTAGTCACATCCTAGTCCTCAGTCTATCAATTATATAGTCAAGGGATATGGCTAATCACATCCTAGTCCTCAGTCTATCAGATAATTATGTAATACACATGCACCACTCATTGTTAAACATCTCTACCAGTAATTTACATCAATACAACAAACATTATAGGTAAGAACTGCCATTATTTTTTATACCTTAAACTCTACAGATCTGATAAAGGATGAAGTGTTGATTTTAGATATACTTATATTTTGTATACATATAAAGTATGCGATGAAACTTCCATTATAAGGAAAAACACCACGAGAAATGCTGATTTACTGTAGAGACTATAAGCTGTATCAAGAGTAATTATATTTGTATTTGTATTGGAAATGCTTTAGGAGAGAATGTTTGATTTACCTCACTTGGAAGTTCTAACTCAGAACGGTTCTCACGGCCATGGTGAAGTCCCATAATGAATGGAACCGGAGCATCCAGGAAGTGTGTCAGAGACGCTGGCAAGATTGGCACATAAACGTGCTGCCATGCAAATGGGAAAACCAGCGTGTTCATACACTCTGCCACCAACATCAGTCTCTGGTAATCTGGTAAATAATCAGAATAAGATGACAAAATCAAACGACTTTTCTACAATTGTGACTAATCAACTCACACCTTATCCTTTTAATAAAACCTTCCAACTATGAATATATCTATTTTCTAAGTAAACTAAAGAGTACATTATTAACAGAGGTTTCTTGTTTTCATGACAGTGTAACGACATTAAAATTTCCTAGAATTGAATTTTCACAATATCATCATTGTTATATGAAATGAAATCTAGTTATTTGTTTCCACTGAATAAAAAGTGAAAATTAAATATTATATTCACAAGGTAAAAACTTAATGACATTATAGAATAATGCTGGAAGATTATAACTAACCGGATGCATAGATAAGGATCTGGTGTTCGAGTAAGACACTGGTGAAGAGTTGGATGATGTCCCTCACTTCTAGGGATCGGAACAAGTCCCAGAGGGAGAAATCAAATAAGGGTAGCTCACTCACACCTGTCAAATGTAGAAAATATATGTACAAAAACATCTATTATACTTCATCATGATCAGTATATATTTACAGGCATTATATATGACAGGCATACATCTACATTGATTATTGTATTTAACATAACAAGGGCCACTGCTCTGAGGACATGCAACACACCCCTAAGATTTTGAAAATATATCTCAAATTACAAATTGTAATATTCTGAATTCTTTTCTATCCCGCATATTCCTGGTCAGTTTTTAAGCTGCCATGGAACATTATCTGCTGATTAAATGACCAGCACAATCTTTCAGAATGATATATAATGTACTGCCTAAGTTATTTATCAGGAATTCAAGTTGAGGATAAAGAGATACTAGTGTCTCTGGTATGGTGGGAAAATTGTCAAAATATGAAGTATATGCTATTCAAGGAAAATTGGTCTGAATACATATATGCCTCCCTTTCATTGTGTCCAGTGCTCTTACCAGGTACTAGCTCAAATATTGTACTAGAATGCATCGTCATTATCATTTTGATTTTATCACAAATATACATCTACTTTAACAGGTCGAAAGTTTAAATATTATATTTATAATGGTATTATTAGGTACTGTTAAGCTTATTAATTTTAACTTTTCAATAAGTCAAGATATACTTATCTAATATTAATATAAAAAAAATCATATGATGTATTATGAAGTGTTTTTTAAATAATAAGATAAGCAATGTTTTCCAATATTACAGGTAATCATTCATAAAAAACTCTAATCAACATACTTAGAAAAGTGTTTACATCAAAAGTGCAGGCAGGCATTTATTGAACAAAAACATTATTAGTCAGTCGTAATCTACATTAACTGAAGCATACCTAGAATATAACATACAAAAATGTGTGCATATATGGCATATACGGAAAATCATCAACAAAATTCTGTACGAAAAATACATGTACCATCATGTTACACATGATAAATATAATAGAAAGCAAGTTGCAAGCAGATTACCAAATTCACTGTCTTTATAAAGGTAATGATAAATAACCACAATGACTACAAGCAAATGGCATAAACTTATTATAGGACAGCATTAAGAATAACACTGCAAATTCACAAAGACATTTATGTTAAAAAAAAATAGAATTCATTACATGTCTTTGTTGGGTTTAAGTAATGTGAAATTAAATATTTACTTTCAGAGCTTGAGAATACTGATTACTAAGGGGTTTTCCTAACTAATATGAGAAGGAAAATTGGACAACATTTGGAAAGTTGTGAAAAATTATGAAAACAAAAATGAGATTATTAGATCAGCACTAACGCTCAAATATACACAAAGATCAGCTTAATAATTTAGTATTGTCAAATTAAGGTGTGATCTATCAGGAAAAGTGGCTACAGTAGGTTAAGTTACAGTAAAATACACAGGCACAATTAACACATATTTGAGACCTGAAGAAATTAGATTGGTATAGGCCTTATTTGGTGCCTAATTGGTTAAAGAGTTTGATTTTCATCAGTAAAATCCCTTACCAAGGGACACAAATTATAAACACAACTTTGTTGCAAGCAAAAATTTGTAATAAGTATCACTGTAAAATAAAAACTTTATTTATTTTTACAACAATTATGAAACAATTTATAACATGCATGGCTGTAGGAAGTGTTTGCTGAAGAGTTTGAGCCTAGTGAGAAGTTAGGTGTACAGACTAATTCCCTTTACCATTGCTGATACAGGAGTTTACAACACACACAATATAACAAACCTTTCACAATGATTCTCACAGCTTAACATAAATATCGTTGTATATAAACTCTCTTAATTTTAAGACCTTATTATAGTTGAGGATACAAATTTGATTGCAGGAAACATTTGTGTAATTTGGATATTCTGATTTGATTTGGTGTATACATTTGTATTGACAAATTACATACTTAAAATTTTGTTGTCTACTTCAAAATTGTAATATGTCAATAGAATTTCTGGAAAATGAACTATACTCTGCTGCACTTGTTGATATTTGGCTGTATACATGAGATTGGGTTGTTAAAGGTTTGTGACATACAGGGATGATACATATATAGAGGTCAGACAAGCTGTAGGGCTGACACAAACCTTTCACCTCTCGCCAATCCACTGCAAATCAATCAAAACAATCATAAACAATATACATCTCATGGTCAAGCTGGACTATGACTTTGTACATAACACACACCCTAATGCATCATGTCAAGGTCAAGCTTCACAGTGCTGAATTATTGACCTGACTTTTGGTTAGAAAGATCTCTGTTTTATCAGAAATTATCAAAATCATTATATCAACATTAAGCGGAATTTATTACCATCAATGTGTTTTCTTCAATAAGTATGTGCTTGCACAACTTGACCATGTGCATTTCTGTTACTATATACATTAATGTACAGGTATATCATATAGAGTATAATCTTGTTTATTTTCTAAATAAATACTTTATCATGATGCAGTTATGATTTCTTTAATTTGTGAGAGTTAGCATGCATATATAATAACAACCAATGTTTTATTATACAATAATGTTCTTCCCCATGCAGTCTCACTATTAGTTTAATATCCATGATAATGTATAAGAGCATCATATTTACAGGCCTTATATATAATAGTCTTTGATATTTTATGAACAGGTATCTAGTGGAGCATGTATCACTAACAAAAGTACCTGTTCATTATCTGATCAGGATCTAGACAAGAAGTTGGAATGCTTGGACCCCAACAATTCAAATAACAACACTAAAATATTGCACTTTAATTTGAATAGATTTTCCTTTGTTGGTCAAACATACTTAAACAAACATTAGAAAGGAACCTCATATTTGTTAAAATTCTAAAGTTACTTTAATATTTGGTGTCAAAAGCAATATAATCCCCCCCCCNTCTAGTTGATGTTAGTAACCATGCAGCATGTAGTAGTATAGGTAGATTCCCATGCAGTTTGATCAAATCAATTATGACTTATTCATGTCACTGTCAGAATAGCCACCAAACTTAACATCGATATGTTGGGATACTAATTTAAACAATTTTTATCTGAAGGTTATTACATTGAAATACATACAATACCCACAGATCTATCAAATCAAAATTGCTTACTTTCCATGTCACTAATTAAATATGACCAATTATGTTACTAAATCCATTGACAACCATAAGCAACAGCAATTTAAGTTGCTGGTATACATGTGTGTTTTTGAAACGAAAACAAAATGTGTTGCAATATATTGGCCATGTTAACGTTTCAGGTCATTCATGTATGTTACAAAAAAAGTTTTTTTTTTTAATAGATCGTCTCCTATTAAACTTTATCATACATAAGTTATCTATTGAAGCTAATAAACTTAAATGTATTATATTTGTCTTACTTCATGAGGGTACATTTGTTTACATATCAATGAATCACAAGTAATTTTATTTTACAAATATTGATGTTTTAGGATTGCACTTCAGAAACTTACTTGGCCTCTGACAGAAGATAGGCATCTCTACACCATAGAATTTGAGGCTGCGACCAGGAGGAGGTAATGGAACCTCGTACAGAATGTTATAGATGTAGCTCTCCAAAGGCAAGTGTGTTTCTGATGGCTTTGACACAGCTTCATACAACTGTCGCAGGAACTGTCGAGATGCTCTCACAAATGGCATCTGAGTGATCAGACAGATTGTCTTCGTCACAAAAAGTTTGTCCTTCTGTGGGTCATAAATGCGGGCACTGTCCCTTGGACTGGTTTGTCGCTGGTGGTGTCCGGGTCGAGGACTAGTGTCCCGTGAGGAGCGTCCACTATCCATGGAACAACTGGCCACTTCCGCCTGGTACATGTGCTGCAGCGTCTGCATAGCAGCACTAATTTTCCTGTCATTAACCTCCTCGTAGAAGGTAAAGGCTGACCCAAAGTTACGGCTTCCATCTTCTTTTGTGATGATAAAGGAATGAAACTTAGGTCGATGTGAATCTTTTTGTGTTCGAAATATTAATCCTTTTGGCAAGCTGAGCTGTAAAGTGAATTTACAAAACGCAAAATAAGTACTAGTACTTGAACAAGCTTACCAAGAAATTGCAAAGCAGTGATACAAATATTGCAGCATTTTATCATGTTACAGGGAACGAAATTATTTGACCTTTAAGTCCTTCTGCAACATTCACCTGATGCTATTAATCTGAGAGTGATACGGGACACAATGTCAAATCATAATTAATCTACATGTTTTGAAGTTTTATAAAAATAAAAATATTCAATCAATTCAATATTGTCATGGTGCATTGATGTACTATGAAGTTTCATATGAAATGTTCAGCCAATTCATATTTTTTACCTGTTGTTAGAAGGACTTGACCTTTATTTCTCAATGTTTTCCCCCATATATATAACAACTTACCATGCCCACGGCATCTTTGTCGAAGGGACTCCATGGCACTGACTGAGGAAAGTGTAGTAACACTTTAGACTTGAATGGTCGGTCAAGGGGAGGACACTGTAAATTGTCACCTAAAACGATACAATGAAATAAAGTGAGCTGCTGTGTAGAGTACCAAAGAAATCTCAGGTCAGTGGTTTGATCCCAAACAGAGCCACATACATCCTTTAATTACAACAGATGTTTCTAAATATTTTCCCCCTAGTTGCATTAGTGGCCTTTCAGAGATATGGTCCTCTACAATGACACCAGGTTTGACAAACAATATATAGGGTGGTTTGGTGGTGCAGTGGATAGCACACTTGCCTTTCACCAAAGCGGCTGAGGTTTGGTTACCTGATCGGACGTGAAAAGGTTGGGGTCACCTGCCCGGCCACGTGGGTTTTCTCCGGGTACTCCAGTTTAATTTCCTCCCACACTAATTATAAGACCCCCTCGCGCTAACATCCGGGCCAACAAGAGTGATTAATATAAGTTGAAATAACTTGTTTCATAATTGTTCTAAAATAGATACAGTTTATATTTCATAACAATATATGAAATCATCATCATATGTAAAATTATTTATCTAATGGTCATGAGCTTCAATTAAACAAAAAGTATCGTGATTATGAGCTGAATAATTCAAATATTCCACCATCTGTATGCAGACAACATGCTATCTGATTACATTTCCTCCCAAAGCTTCACACATTCTGATATTATGTAGAAGGTTATCTAATTATCAGTAATTAGTTTACTATAATTAGAGTAACATAATTAACTCCAGCATGCACTGGCATCGTGTCTCAATATATTAACAATGTAAAAAAATAATCAAATGTAATTTCATTAATGAATTTATCTAAATGTTTTGTTCAATAGTAGAATAGAAAACCTATATATAGTAAACAAAGCTGGTGTCATCCAAGTGTGACCTGGTGATTGTACTCCATCACCTGATCATCTAGGCTCTTAATGACTGATGTCTGATCGATCTCATTGTTTGTTGTATGTTGATGTATTACTAGTTATGTCATCTGAAGCGACACTATTACTGTACACGTGTACAAATAACGTAACGAAATTAAAGTTTTACAAATCTTCGTCGGAAACATGAGACACGCAACACACCATTCACCCGTATGAGTGCGGATCGAGTTCACCGAGGGCAACACCCTGAATATCTCCAACGGTTGCAGAGGCTGAACCACAAACCTGATAGTGTATCCGGCTCCAATCCCGACCCCACGTCCAGCCCACAGACCACGAAGTAGTCGGCAAATCGACTGGGGTTACCCTGGTTTGTCATCCCGTCGCCTGATCCCTCGTGTGCTCTCGCATTATTTCAATCTAGCTCCGATGTGACAGTCGGCAAGTCTTCGTCGGTCGTCGAAAATTACATGTCTGCTTCTTCCTGTTTATTACTGACACTAGAGGGCGCTGTCATGATAAGTAGAGCTGATTATTATTTCAAGCGTAGTTTCGCTTTGGCCTGCTTTACCTTGGACACGTTTACATGAATGTGGTAAGTACTTGTCTAAGGTTTTAGGCCTATATAAGTTATGTTGAGAGTAAACAACTAGATATCGTGATGTCAAGTAAGTGATAAAACTGAATCAGGTACAGGTGATCACACATTTTTTAGCACTCATGCTTTAATCTCAGAACTACATTCCGTAAGTAGGTCGAATCACAGGGTCACGCAAGTTGCAACTCCTATTAATATTGATCTTGTTTAGGGTTTCAGTCGCTAGGTGCATTATTTTGGGATATAACATATCCAGCGACTGAAAGCCTAAAATAACATCAATATTAATAGTAGTTGCGTGGTAACGTACCAAGCGACTGAAAGCCTAAAACAACATCAATATTAATAGTAGTTGCATGCCTCTGCGGTCGAATAGGCCTACTTGGGATTCTGAAAAAGAAATCTGACTTTGTAACTCTTTTGGTGGTTTCTTTTGATTTTTTATCAGTTTTACTCCCGAAAGTGCCCTATTTTCCCAAAATGACCAAAAATATACATGTATTCCCTATTTCAATACAAATAATGCTATATTTCCCCAATTCATAAAGAAACAGGCTGTTGTAAGGTATAGGTAGCAAAAGCACTGAAATAATGATTTAATGTTATTGGTTTATATTATTTACATGCTTCTGTTTTATCTTCTTTTTTTTTTACATTTCGAACTTGTCAGCTTACCTTGCAAATATGGCTATTTATCATGTACCTATTCAATGTACTATCAAAGACTTTCTGAAGATGGAGGTGCAGAACCAGGCTCATTTTTAGCTCACTTGAGACAAAGTCTCAAAGGACCTATTCTCATCGCCTTTTGTCCGTTGTCGTCCGTCACCCACCGTCCGTCGTGCGTCCATAAACAATTTACATTTTCATCTTCTTCTCCAAAACCCCTGAACAAATTTCAATGAAATTTTGCAGAAACCTTCCATGGCCAAAAGTCAACCAAAATTGTGAATTATATGGTCCCCAGCCCCCAGGGGCCTGAGAAGCGGGGCCAAAAAGGGTCAAATTGACTAAAATTTCAAAAATCTTCTTCTCAAGATCCAGATATGGTGGAATCAAATACTCTTATTAGATGGAAGGGTCTTAAGGTGCTTTACCAAAATTGTGAATTTCATGACCCTGGGGTCTCACTTTTCCCCCATGGGGATGGGGTAAACAAAACTTTACTTTAGTTTATATAGGGAAATCACATTTTGGACAAACATTAGTTTAATGGGGGGGTGCTAGTTTCAAATAATTTTCAGTCTTAAATCTGCATGCTAGATATTGAATAAGGTGGTTTTATTGTTTTTTGTCACTTTGAATGATATTTCTGTTCATGTTAAAAACAAAAATCAACTCTCTGTATAAATATATCAGATGACCGTTAAGGCCTCTTGTTATTGGAAGGAATATAAATGCATGACCAGACCAGGATTTGAACCTGGGACCCTCCAAATCTTGATGGATGCTCTATTTTACAATTAAATGGGTGTTCTGTTTTATGTAGAAACCATTTCAAACAAAGTTACCAGGCTAGTTTCAAATGATAAATAATTTTGTGTTGTAGAACTGAGGTTTAATTAAAGGATAATGTTTTCGACGGTGCTTAGGAATGTGAATAGAAATCACCGTCAGCTTTCTGCCCTGAAGTATCTAGCGGTGGTGAGCGTTGCTACCAGACTCGGTGTAGTACATGGAACAAAGGTACAAATAAGGTGACAATCAATGAAATTATTTACTCTATAAATCTGGTATGCTTCCTGTATAAATACATCTAATTATTAGGTATGATACATGATGATAACTAAAACTAATGAATCGAAGTAGTTGTAAAACCATCCACGATGATTGACATGAATTTGTAGTCCTATCTGATGTGTAAAAAAATAGACAACATGTCACATGACACGAGTATGACAACTCGGTCAAAGGGTTTCTTGCATTTTCAGGAATATCATTTATTGCATTTTAAAAAATGTCTTCACAATTCCAAATGGGAAGGTTCAATATTGTCAAAGGGAAGTTAAAACCTAGTTACTGGTACCGGTAGGTTCAACAATCACTTTTAACCATTAAAAGGTTTGAAGGTTACACAGGTTGAGAGGTTTTAAGGTGGGTTTAAGGTTGTAGTGATTGGTTGATGTAAAGGTTGTAGTGTTTGGTTGGTTTAAAGGTTGTAGTGATTGGTTGGTTTAAAGGTTGTGGTGTTTGGTTGGTTTAAAGGTTGTAGTGATTGGTTGGTTTAAAGGTTGTAGTGTTTGGTGGATTTAAAGGTTGTAGTGATTGGTTGGTTTAAAGGTTGTAGTGTTTGGTTGGTTTAAGGTTGTAGTGATTGGTTGGTTTAAAGGTTGTGGTGTTTGGTTGGTTTAAAGGTTGTAGTGATTGGTTGGTTTAAAGGTTGAAGTGTTTGGTGGATTTAAAGGTTGTAGTGATTGGTAGGTTTAAATGTTGTAGTGTTTGGTTGGTTTAAAGGTTGTAGTGATTGGTTGATTTAAAGGTTGTAGTGTTTGGTGGATTTAAAGGTTGTAGTGTTTGGTTGGTTTAAAGGTTGTAGTGTTTGGTTGGTTTAAAGGTTGTAGTGATTGGTTGGTTTAAAGGTTGTAGTGTTTGGTGGATTTAAAGGTTGTGGTGTTTGGTTGGTTTAAAGGTTGTAGTGATTGGTTGGTTTAAAGGTTGTAGTGTTTGGTTGGTTTAAAGGTTGTAGTGTTTGGTGGATTTAAAGGTTGTAGTGTTTGGTTGGTTTAAAGGTTGTAGTGTTTGGTGGATTTAAAGGTTGTAGTGATTGGTTGGTTTAAAGGTTGTAGTGTTTGGTGGATTTAAAGGTTGTAGTGTATGTAGGATTTAAAGGTTGTAGTGTTTGGTTGGTTTAAAGGTTGAAGTGATTGGTTGGTTTAAAGGTTGTAGTGATTGGTTGGTTTAAAGGTTGTAGTGTTTGGTGGATTTAAAGGTTGTAGTGTTTGGTTGGTTTAAAGGTTGTAGTGTTTGGTGGATTTAAAGGTTGTAGTGATTGGTTGGTTTAAAGGTTGTAGTGTTTGGTGGATTTAAAGGTTGTAGTGATTGGTTGGTTTAAAGGTTGTAGTGTTTGGTGGATTTAAAGGTTGTAGTGTTTGGTTGGTTTAAAGGTTGTAGTGTTTGGTGGATTTAAAGGTTGTAGTGATTGGTTGGTTTAAAGGTTGTAGTGTTTGGTGGATTTAAAGGTTGTAGTGATTGGTTGGTTTAAAGGTTGTAGTGTTTGGTGGATTTAAAGGTTGTAGTGATTGGTTGGTTTAAAGGTTGTAGTGTTTGGTGGATTTAAAGGTTGTAGTGATTGGTTGGTTTAAAGGTTGTAGTGTTTGGTGGATTTAAAGGTTGTAGTGTTTGGTTGGTTTAAAGGTTGTAGTGTTTGGTGGATTTAAAGGTTGTAGTGATTGGTTGGTTTAAAGGTTGTAGTGTTTGGTGGATTTAAAGGTTGTAGTGTTTGGTTGGTTTAAAGGTTGTAGTGTTTGGTTGGTTTAAAGGTTGTAGTGATTGGTTGGTTTAAAGGTTGTAGTGTTTGGTTGGTTTAAAGGTTGTAGTGATTGGTTGGTTTAAAGGTTGTAGTGTTTGGTTGGTTTAAAGGTTGTAGTGATTGGTGGATTTAAAGGTTGTAGTGTTTGGTTGGTTTAAGGGTTGTAGTGTTTGGTTGGTTTAAAGGTTGTAGTGTTTGGTGGGTTTAAAGGCTGTAGTGGTTGGTTTAAAGGTTGTAGTGTTTGGTTGGTTTAAAGGTTGTAGTGTTTGGTGGATTTAAAGGTTGTGGTGATTGGTTGATGTAAAGGTTGTAGTGTTTGGTTGGTTTAAAGGTTGTAGTGTTTGGTGGATTTAAAGTTTGTAGTGATAGGTTGGTTTAGAGGTTGTAGTGTTTGGTTGGTTTAAAGGTTGTAGTGTTTGATTGGTTTAAAGGTTGTAGTGATTGGTTGGTTTAAAGGTTGAAGTGATTGGTAGGTTTAAAGGTTGTAGTGTTTGGTTGATTTAAAGGTTGTAGTGATTAGTTGGTTTAAAGGTTGTAGTGATTGGTAGGTTTATATGTTGTAGTGATTGGTGGGTATCACAAGGATTAGATATTATACCCACTAGGAGGTTTTAAAGTTGTAGTTATCACAAGGATTAGATATTGTACTCACTAGTAGGTTTTAAGGTTGTTAGTATCACAAGGATTAGATATTGTACTCACTAGTAGGTTTTAAGGTTGTAGCTATCACAAGAATTAGAAATTATACCCACTAGGCGGTTTTAAGGTTTTAGTTATCACAAAGATTAGATATTGTACTAACTAGTAGGTTTTAAGGTTATCGTTATAACAAGGATTAGATATGGTACTCACTAGTAGGTTTTAATGTTGTAGTTATCACAAGTGATTGGTTGGTTTAAAGGTTGTGGTGTTTGGTTGGTTTAAAGGTTGAAGTGATTGGTAGGTTTATATGTTGTAGTGATTGGAGGGTATCACAAGGATTTGATATTATACCCACTAGGAGGTTTTACAGTTGTAGTTATCACAAGGATTAGATATTGTACTCACTAGGAGGTTTTAAGGTTGTAGCTATCACAAGAATTAGATATTATACCCACTAGGAGGTTTTAAGGTTTTAGTTATCACAAGGATTAGATACTGTACTCCCTTGGAGGTTTTAAGGTTGTAATTATCACAATGATTAGATATTATACTCACTAGGAGGTTTGAGTATTAGATGTTGTATTCACCTGGAGGTTTGAGTATAAGATATTGTACTCACCTGGAGGTTTTAGTAATTGATATTGTACTCACCTGGAGGTTTGAGTATTAGATGTTGTACTCACCTGGAGGTTTTAATTATTAGATATTGTACTCACTAGGTGGTTTGAGTATTAGATGTTGTACTCACCTGGAGGTTTGAGTAATTGATATTGTACTCACTAGGAGGTTTGAGTATTAGATGTTGTACTCACCTCGAGGTTTGAGTAATTGATATTGTACTCACTAGGAGGTTTTAATTATTAGATATTGTACTCACTTAGAGGTTTGAGTATTAGATGTTGTACTCACTAGGAGGTTTTAATTATTAGATATTGTACTCACTAGGAGGTTTGAGTATTAGATATTGTACTCACCTGGAGGTTTGAGTATTAGATATTGTACTCACCTAGAGGTTTGAGTATTAGATNTAGGAGGTTTGAGGATTAGATATTGTACTCACTAGGAGGTTTGAGTATTAGATATTGTACTCACTAGGAGGTTTGAGTATTAGATGTTGTACTCACCTGGAGGTTTGAGTATTAGATATTGTACTCACTTGGAGGTTTGAGTATTAGATGTTGTACTCACCTGGAGGTTTGAGTATTAGATATTGTACTCACTAGGAGGTTTGAGTAATAGATGTTGTACTCACCTGGAGGTTTGAGTATTAGATATTGTACTCACTTGGAGGTTTGAGTATTAGATATTGTACTCACTAGGTGGTTTGAGTATTAGATATTGTACTCACCTGGAGGTTTGATTATAAGATGTTGTACTCACCTGGAGGTTTGAGTATTAGATATTGTACACACCTGGAGGTTTGAGTATTAGATGTTGTACTCACCTGGAGGTTTGAGTATTAGATGTTGATCTTACTAGGAGGTTTTAGGATTAGATATTGTACTCACCTGGAGGTTTGAGTATTAGATATTGTACTCACCTGGAGGTTTGAGTATTAGATGTTGTTCTTACTAGGAGGTTTTAGGATTAGATATTGTACTCACCTGGAGGTTTGAGTATAAGATGTTGTACTCACTAGGAGGTTTGAGTATTAGATATTGTACTCACTAGGAGGTTTGAGTATTAGATATTGTACTCACTAGGAGGTTTGAGTATTAGATATTGTACTCACCTGGAGGTTTGAGTATTAGATATTGTACTCACTTGGAGGTTTGAGTATTAGATGTTGTACTCACTAGGAGGTTTGAGTATTAGATATTGTACTCACTAGGAGGTTTGAGTATTAGATGTTGTACTCACCTGGAGGTTTGAGTATTAGATATTGTACTCACTTGGAGGTTTGAGTATTAGATGTTGTACTCACTAGGAGGTTTGAGTATTAGATATTGTACTCACTAGGAGGTTTGAGTATTAGATATTGTACTCACTAGGAGGTTTGAGTATTAGATATTGTACTCACTAGGAGGTTTGAGTATTAGATGTTGTACTCACTAGGAGGTTTGAGTATTAGATATTGTACTCACTAGGAGGTTTGAGTATTAGATATTGTACTCACTAGGAGGTTTGAGTATTAGATATTGTACTCACTAGGAGGTTTGAGTATTAGATATTGTACTCACTAGGAGGTTTGAGTATTAGATATTGTACTCACTAGGAGGTTTGAGTATTAGATATTGTACTCACTAGGAGGTTTGAGTATTAGATATTGTACTCACTAGGAGGTTTGAGTATTAGATATTGTACTCACTAGGAGGTTTGAGTATTAGATATTGTACTCACTAGGAGGTTTGAGTATTAGATGTTGTACTCACTAGGAGGTTTGAGTATTAGATATTGTACTCACTAGGAGGTTTGAGTATTAGATATTGTACTCACTAGGAGGTTTGAGTATTAGATGTTGTACTCACTAGGAGGTTTGAGTATTAGATATTGTACTCACTAGGAGGTTTGAGTATTAGATATTGTACTCACTAGGAGGTTTGAGTATTAGATATTATACTCACCTGGAGGTTTGAGTAATTGATATTGTACTCACCTGGAGGTTTGAGTATTAGATGTTGTACTCACTTGGAGGTTTGAGTGTTTGATATTGTACTCACCTGGAGGTTTGAGTATTAGATGTTGTACTCACCTGGAGGTTTGAGTATTAGATGTTGTACTCACTTGGAGGGTTGAGTGTTTGATATTGTACTCACCTGGAGGTTTGAGTATTAGATGTTGTACTCACCTGGAGGTTTGAGTATTAGATGTTGTACTCACCTGGAGGTTTGAGTATTAGATATTGTACTCACCTGGCGGTTTGAGTATTAGATGTTGTACTCACTTGGAGGTTTGAGTGTTTGATATTGTACTCACCTGGAGGTTTGAGTATTAGACGTTGTACTCACTTGGAGGTTTGAGTGTTTGATATTGTACTCCCCTGGAGGTTTGAGTATTAGATGTTGTACTCACCTGGAGGTTTGAGTATTAGATGTTGTACTCACTAGGAGGTTTGAGTATTAGATATTGTACTCACTAGGAGGTTTGCATATTGTAATGTCCAGCCATGTCTGATTTGGTATCGATTAAATATTGAATATTCAGAATAAGATTATAAACTGGAAAATGTTTAGTGTTTTAATTTGTTATTAAATCTTTGGTGATTTTAGAGTATCTGTACGTCACCCCAGAAGTGTAGTGATGAGGTGAAGGCAGCCAAAGATGTAGTCAAACCCTCAACAGCTGGAACCACCATCTTCAGTAAGATTCTGGACAAGACCATACCAGCAAATATTCTGTTTGAAGATGATCAGGTGACGAAAATACAAAATTCTGTGTCATGTCCATTCAGATAGATAGATGTAATAAGAGTGACTGAACACTCTTCACCAAACCCTGGCCTTGTTAGAAAAAATGACATCCTAACAATTTGTGTTTTAGGGATTGTGAATAAAAAAACCTGCAGGAAAACATTGGATCAATATATGATAATCAGATATAATGATTGCACTATGATATTCAATCAAAGAAAAAGGAAACTTAAACAAAAGTATAGTAATTCATTATTCAATATGTACAATTTAATCAATGTGTATTTGATAAACTATCAATCTGGAAATTTCTATATTTTTATCTGTAATACCTGTAGATGTATGACAGTATTGTGATGGTTTGCAGTGCCTAGCCTTCAGTGACGTGTCTCCCCAGGCTCCGGTACACTTTCTTGTGATCCCGCGAAAACCCATCACAGGGATCAGTGCTGCACAACCAGAGGACCAGCAGGTACGTGTCCTTTAAACCTATCACAGGGATCAGTGCTGCACAACCAGAGGTCCAGCAGGTACGTGTCCTATAAACCCATCACAGGGATCAGTGCTGCACGACCAGAGGACCAGCAGGTACGTGTCCTATATACAACATACCCCATCAAACAATATCATAGTGATAATCTATATGTATATTTGCCATTCGAAGTAACCATCATTCTCATGGAAGTAGAATATTCAATATACCGTAAAATATAACATGACCTGAGTTATTGAATATTAATACACACCATTACATTACTGTGACATACCTGTGGGTGTTGCATACACACTTTAACATAACATTGGTTTACACACAGCTACACTACCTGAGTTGTTCAATAAACACAGCTACACTACCGGAGTTGTTGAATAAACACAGCTACACTACCGGAGTTGTTAAATAAAAACAGCTACACTACCCAAGTTGTTGAATAAATACAGCTACACTACCCAAGTTGTTCAATAAACACAGCTACACTACCTGAGTTGTTGAATAAACACAGCTACACTACCTGAGTTGTTGAATAAACACAGCTACACTACCTGAGTTGTTGAATAAACACAGCTACACTACCTGAGTTGTTGAATAAACACAGCTACACTACCTGAGTTGTTGAATAAACACAGCTACACTACCTGAGTTGTTGAATAAACACAGCTACACTACCTGAGTTGTTGAATAAACACAGCTACACTACCTGAGTTGTTGAATAAACACAGCTACACTACCTGAGTTGTTGAATAAACACAGCTACACTACCTGAGTTGTTGAATAAACACAGCTACACTACCTGAGTTGTTGAATAAACACAGCTACACTACCTGAGTTGTTGAATAAACACAGCTACACTACCTGAGTTGTTGAATAAACACAGCTACACTACCTGAGTTGTTGAATAAACACAGCTACACTACCTGAGTTGTTGAATAAACACAGCTACACTACCTGAGTTGTTGAATAAACACAGCTACACTACCTGAGTTGTTGAATAAACACAGCTACACTACCTGAGTTGTTGAATAAACACAGCTACACTACCTGAGTTGTTGAATAAACACAGCTACACTACCTGAGTTGTTGAATAAACACAGCTACACTACCTGAGTTGTTGAATAAACACAGCTACACTACCTGAGTTGTTGAATAAACACAGCTACACTACCTGAGTTGTTGAATAAACACAGCTACACTACCTGAGTTGTTGAATAAACACAGCTACACTACCTGAGTTGTTGAATAAACACAGCTACACTACCTGAGTTGTTGAATAAACACAGCTACACTACCTGAGTTGTTGAATAAACACAGCTACACTACCTGAGTTGTTGAATAAACACAGCTACACTACCTGAGTTGTTGAATAAACACAGCTACACTACCTGAGTTGTTGAATAAACACAGCTACACTACCTGAGTTGTTGAATAAACACAGCTACACTACCTGAGTTGTTGAATAAACACAGCTACACTACCTGAGTTGTTGAATAAACACAGCTACACTACCTGAGTTGTTGAATAAACACAGCTACACTACCTGAGTTGTTGAATAAACACAGCTACACTACCTGAGTTGTTGAATAAACACAGCTACACTACCTGAGTTGTTGAATAAACACAGCTACACTACCTGAGTTGTTGAATAAACACAGCTACACTACCTGAGTTGTTGAATAAACACAGCTACACTACCTGAGTTGTTGAATAAACACAGCTACACTACCTGAGTTGTTGAATAAACACAGCTACACTACCTGAGTTGTTGAATAAACACAGCTACACTACCTGAGTTGTTGAATAAACACAGCTACACTACCTGAGTTGTTGAATAAACACAGCTACACTACCTGAGTTGTTGAATAAACACAGCTACACTACCTGAGTTGTTGAATAAACACAGCTACACTACCTGAGTTGTTGAATAAACACAGCTACACTACCTGAGTTGTTGAATAAACACAGCTACACTACCTGAGTTGTTGAATAAACACAGCTACACTACCTGAGTTGTTGAATAAACACAGCTACACTACCTGAGTTGTTGAATAAACACAGCTACACTACCTGAGTTGTTGAATAAACACAGCTACACTACCTGAGTTGTTGAATAAACACAGCTACACTACCTGAGTTGTTGAATAAACACAGCTACACTACCTGAGTTGTTGAATAAACACAGCTACACTACCTGAGTTGTTGAATAAACACAGCTACACTACCTGAGTTGTTGAATAAACACAGCTACACTACCTGAGTTGTTGAATAAACACAGCTACACTACCTGAGTTGTTGAATAAACACAGCTACACTACCTGAGTTGTTGAATAAACACAGCTACACTACCTGAGTTGTTGAATAAACACAGCTACACTACCTGAGTTGTTGAATAAACACAGCTACACTACCTGAGTTGTTGAATAAACACAGCTACACTACCTGAGTTGTTGAATAAACACAGCTACACTACCCGAGTTGTTGAATAAACACAGCTACACTACCTGAGTTGTTGATTAAACACAGCTACACTTCCCGAGTTGTTCAATAAACACAGCTACACTACCCGAGTTGTTGAATAAACACAGCTACACTACCTGAGTTGTTCAATAAACACAGCTACACTACCTGAGTTGTTGAATAAATACAGCTACACTACCCGAGTTGTTCAATAAACACAGCTACACTACCTGAGTTGTTGAATAAACACAGCTACACTACCGGAGTTGTTCAATAAACACAGCTACACTACCTGATATGTTCAATAAACACAGCTACACTATTTGAGTTGTTGAATAAACATGGTAACATTACCTGACTTTTAAATTACACAGTACATGACTTCAGTCCTTATATGTTTTTAATGTGAAATTGGAGATTTTTGCATTCCAGCTCTTAAAACCATTTCTTTTAGTATTTGTATTACAACATATTTCACATCATGACATTATATTATGTAAGCATAAAGTCCTTACTTAACACTTACACTTAACTGCCGTTTTCAAATCTTTTGTTTTCAAATCTTTTGTTTTAGCTCCTTGGCCACTTACTGCTGGTGGCTAAAGCTGTTGCTGCAGAGCAAAAGTTGGACAATGGGTACCGAGTAGGTAAGGGTCAGATTACAAACAATGGGTACCGAGTAGGTAAAAGTCAGATTACAAACAATGGGTACTGAGTAGTTAAGAGTCAGATTACAGACAATGGGTACCGAGTAGGTAAGAGTCAGATTACAGACAATGGGTACTGAGTAGGTAAGAGTCAGATTACAGACAATGGGTACCGAGTAAGTAAGAGTCAGATTACAGACAATGAGTACCGAGTAAGTAAGAGTCAGATTACAGACATTGGGTACCGAGTAAGTAAGAGTCAGATTACAGACATTGGGTACCGAGTAGGTAAGAGTCAGATTACAGACAATGGGTACTGAGTAAGTAAGAGTCAGATTACAGACAATGGGTACCGAGTAAGTAAGAGTCAGATTACAGACATTGAGTACCGAGTAGGTAAGAGTCAGATTACAGACAATGAGTACCGAGTAGGTAAGAGTCAGAGTACAGACAATGGGTACCGAGTAAGTAAGAGTCAGATTACAGACAATGGCTACCGAGTAGGTAAGAGTCAGATTACAGACAATGGGTACCGTGTAAGTAAGAGTCAGATTACAGACAATTGGTACCGAGTAGGTAAGAGTCAGATTACAGATAATGAGTACCGAGTAGGTAAGAGTCAGATTACAGACAATGAGTACGGAGTAGGTAAGAGTCAGATTACAGACATTGGGTACCGAGTAGGTAAGAGTCAGATTACAGACAATGGGTACCGAGTAGGTAAAAGTCAGATTAAAGACAATGGGTACCGAGTAGGTAAGAGTCAGATTACAGACAATGGGTACCGAGTAGGTAAGAGTCAGATTACAAACAATGGGTACCGAGTAGGTAAGAGTCAGATTACAGACAATGAGTACCGAGTAGTTTAGAGTCAGATTATCCTCATATTGCATTTCCATTATATATAACTCTTCCACATTCTGATGGCATTCATATTGCCTTTGAATGCAACTTCAATAATTGTTTAATACTTTCACATTTGTTCAGTATATGAACTTGTATGTCTGTATTTAAACCTACCGCTTATATTTTAACTTGTATACTGTACCGACGTGTTTGTTACTGATGTGTATGTATAGAT